CCTTGAAGGATAATAACTCGGAATTACAAACCCTCTAGTCTTGTAAAGGATAATTGCCCTTGGCTTATCTAAGCCACTCAGTAATGTCACGCGTCCCTGACCATTCGTGTTCGCTCTCTCTATACTCAAGGACGTGGCATCAGTCCAGTATATCAAGTCATTTTCAGCATCGAGTGTCAATCCATCCACATTTCCAACGTTTCTCCTGCATTGAAAAAATAGTGTCGTAAGTTTTATTTTTGCATACTGTATCAGTCTCCTAATTTTAAAAGCATTTCAGAAAGATCTGATTTTTGCCTCTTGTCTTTAAAATCACGGACGACGCCTAAAAAATGGTCAACACCAACAAAGAGTTGGGGACACTTTCCGCAGGCGAGGTTTTAACCGATGTTCTTAACACATACTAAGTTCGTCAAAAGGGAGGTTTTTGTTTTCAGCTTATCTAAGCCCATCGGTCAATTCGGGTTAGCTCGCTCTATACCATCAGTCCGGTGTAATTTGTCTATTCAAATGTCCATTGTTAAGGAATCCCAAAATTGCACTTCCAGTATTGGCACCTATCCATCAGCAATACCGATCACTTTTAGAGCAATTTTCAATTGAGCGTCGAAAGTAATCCAAGGTTTTCCTTTACTCTTCTCTGTGATTGGTCTAGAAATCACGCACCATTCTCACGAGGAATCAGTTGCAAAATTGAAACCTATCACAATTTAGCCACCGGCGTTTTCCCGCGCATTACGCAGTTTTTTGGATGGTTTTAATTTGAGATCTCCTTGGCTCTTAAATGTATTTTCCTTTCTTGTGATTGGTCGTTGTGATTACACTCGATCAGAAAAGCGCTCTGTTACTTTAGTAGACCGACATCATTCTACCATGGTAGATCAAAAACCTTACTACAAGTTTTTGTACGTGATCGTGCCTCACTTCACCGCTTTAAGCTCTATAACTGGGTCAATCATAAAAATAATAAACGGATCAAGAAACAAAACCAAATAAAATACAAGCTCTCTTAGAAAAGATCAAAGGCAGAATTTAACTGAGATGTATATAAAAACAAGATCTTCCTTTAAAAAAAAATAAATTAGCTTACCAGGCAATTATTTCCTCTCCCCCGACTCCGGTCACGGACATTCGCTTTATCTTTTTATCGTCGACGTCACTCCAGTAAATCGGTTTATCTATTGGGTTGTAATCCAGCGCAACAAGCATGACGGGATCGTTGATCTGCAATTTTTGAGTGGTCATTCTGTTTTGCTTTGTGTCCATAAACAGCTGCCATATTGCCGTAGGAGAGGCGACTATTATGGAATAACTGGGTAGGGGAGCTGTAAAACGGACGAGAAAGCAATTGTTAATTAATGTGTTACACTGAAGTCTCCTTCGCAGCTTTTTTTTTTTTTTCTGGCAATGTCACTCCCGTCGCGAGATGCTCGTTACGAAAGCACCTCATGCAGCACTTGTCTTAATAATAATAATAATAATAATAATAATAATAATCTTTATTGAGATTACTTTTTCATATAAAATATGGTTTTCAAAAAGGATCTCCAACAAAAAACAAAAAAAAAAATATTCGTACATTAAAATTAAAGATATATAAAAAATATAAAAAGAAACAACACATTAACTTAAAATTCATATGGATCACAGCTTTAAAAATAACATGGTATGAAATGCATTAAGTCACAAGTTTAAAAGATTACGTTTAAAAATATTAAGATTAACGGATTGTCTGATTGCTTGGCTAAGAGAGGTAAAATCCTTTATGGCATGAAACGCTGTCCGTTGCTTACCCTAGTTCCTCTTGACACTTGGAAGTCTGAGATTTAGCTTAGTTCTGGTATTATAATCATGTTGTTCATGCTGTCTTATAAAGTTCATATCACGCCCAACAAGTCCATTTAAACACTTATACACATAAATACATCTTCTCTGAAAACGCCTTTTTTCTAATGGAACCCACTTAAGAGTGGCAGGCGCATGCGTAGCAGATGAATAAAGGAGTCTGTCTAAAATTATTCAGTTAGCAGCCTTATTCTGCAAGACTTGCAAACTGGCCATTGAGGTTACATTATTCTTGTTTCCCCAAACGAGGTCTGCATAATCAAATAAAAGCATGACAAGACTATTATAAAAAAGAACGCATGCACTAAAAGGTAATAAATGTTTAAGGAGATCAAGCCTTTGATTAATTTTGCTAGCAATGTACTCAACATGATTTGTCCATGTAAAATCAGATGATATAAAAATTCAAAGGTATTTGAAGCTGTTGACATTGTTTACATTGTGGTCGAAGATTGATAGAGACAGAGCTATTTTGCTTTCCAATGTTCCATTACTACCTAAAAGCATGCATTTAGTTTCTTCAAGGTTCAAAGTAAGCTTGTGAGCATTTAACCAATTAGCTACGGCTAACAAGTCGCGATTTAGCTTATCACTGATCTGATGGGAAGATGGTAAATCACGGTATCATCTACATAGAGGGACGCACAGCAGTATTCTAGAGTACTTGGCAGATCATTTATATAAATCACAAACAACAAGGGGCCAAAAATGCTACCCTATGGAGCCCCGAGAGTTACTGGCAACTCGTTAGACATCTCATTCCCACAAGATATTCGCTGTTTTCGGTCAGTGATATATAAGAACGAAACCATTGAAGCGAATTTCCAGACAAACCATACGTCGATAGCTTAGACAATAAGATCTGGTGATCCACCGTATTAAAAGCTTTTGTTAGATCTAAAAACACGGTTCCACATAGTTTACCCTGTTCCATATTGAGAAGGACTTCGTCGGCAAAGGATGTCAGGGCAGATGTGGTGGACGGTCCTTTCCGGAATCCAAACTGTTTTCCTGAAAGGAGCTTATTAGCAACCAGGAATTGGTATAACTGTGTATGTACAGCCGGCTTTCTCAAGAATCTTGCTGAGTGTGGGCAATATAAAGATAGGTCGATGGTTTGATGCATTTGTCCGGTCCCCTGACTTAAACAGGGCTGTAATCTTTGAACATTTCCACAATTTAGGAAATTTGCCAGTTTTAATTGATAGATTCAGTAATATAGTTACAGTGAGTGCTATCGTATGGGCAGAGTTTTTAAGCAACCATGCACTAACTGAGTCCAAGCTGATCGCCTTGTTTGTCTTTAGAGCGAGAAGCTGCCGAAGTACAAGCGATTCCTCTAGTTCAACCAGCTGGAGCTGGAACTTCGGCAAACCTGCACTTGAATTGTAACTCGGCCAAGTAGTCATAGTTGTTACTTCATCAGCCAGTCGCTTACCAATGGACGCAAAAAAGCTTTTCATTGCTGAGGCAATAGATTTAGATATAAGGTGCTGAATTCCCTCAGAAATAATGCACTGCACACTTTCTGTGGTAGAGTTACGATGAAAAACTTCATCGACCGCATTCCAAACTTTTTTCGCATTTCCTTTAGTGTCCTGAAACAAGGCACAGTAATGCCTCGTCTCGGCAGATTTAACTAAGCAGTTGACCTTAATTCTTAGTTTTTTATGGGTGTTCCAGTGTTGAGAGGAGTTAGATTTCCACGCTTTTCGATGAATCCAGTCTCGTTCTTTCATTATTTCGCCGATTTTATTATTCATCCAAGGGAGTGGTGTCCCTTTAACACGCCGCCTTTTGAGAGGTGCGTGAGAATCTGCAACCTCAGAGAACAATTTTTTCCAAGTTAACAGGGCGTCATCCACATTGTTTTTGTTCTCGAACATTCCTAAGTTCATCGTTAAATAAATTAGCATCGAAATTCTTGTAACGGAGCGATACTCAAATAATTTCGGTTGGGCCTTAATGAAAACACCAGCTTTGGCAAAACATAAAGTAGTGATCACTCAACAGAACCGGAATAACACCAGATTTAACAATACGATGATCATTATTATTGACAAAGATTAAATCAGTTAGTGTCCTGGAGATGTCAGTTATTTCTAGCGGGCCCTTCTATCAACTGAGTCAAGTCAAAAGCGCGTTAAAAATTGAGTAGTTCTTGTTTATCTTTTTTCGGTAATTTCGAATTGGACATCATGTTTGCGTTAAGGTCTCTTAAAATGATCACATTTGATTTTACCAGGTCAACATTAGGCATGCTGTCTTGTAGAGCCGAAATAAAGGTGTGGAAATCAGCATTTGGGGCTCTATAAGTGCAGCAAATTAACGTTGGTTTGCATTTGACTAGAATCAACTCAATCCATAAACATTCCTGGCCGCCGGTGTTAATTAATGTCATTCCGTAGACGAAACGCTAATCCTTCCCTGACATAAATAGCGTCACCCCCATATCCCTTTTTGTCTCCAACGCGGCCTTGTCTAACACACACAAACCCAGGAAGTTTAATTTCAGCATCACTTATAGAGCTGTCCAACCAAGTCTCAGATAAAGTTAGTACGTCGAAGATCTTGTTGTCAATTCCCTCGAGACGCAAAGAGTCCGTTTTATTTCTAAGACTCCGAATGTTCAAGTGAGCAATCTTGAGACCTCGAGTGGTCTTAATATCATCAAATGTTAGGTAACCAGGATTTGACTCAACATCTCCAGCCAAGGCAATAAGAGTCAAGGCAAAGCAGGCGAGTTGAAAGAGTTTACAGAGCAATACACCCTTTTGAAGTCGATCGAAGTTGTACTTACGGGTCGGTTCACTTCGGCGAAAAGAAGCTCTCGCAATTTCAGACCTGCGATTCATCTGTGAAACGAAAAATGTTTCTCTGTCGTTTGATAAGGTGTTCTCCCGCTAGTATGAAATCCTATAACATTCAAAAGCCACGCAAATACAGAGAAAGAAACATAAATTTGCAGAGAGCCTGAAACTGCGGCCGGCCTCCATCGTTGCATCATAGTAAAAGTGCTCCTCGCGTAACGCTCCCTCCGAAACACTCCTCGCGAAACGCACTCCGTCAGATACCGATACATTTTGGGGGACACAGCTTGCGTGATTAGACAAACTTCCTCGCTGGGAGGCGGGGTGTAATCTTGATATAATACCAAAATAATTCCCTCTGTCTAATTTACAAGAAAATGTATTGTAGCTGAAAACGAGAATCACTCAGTGAATCAGATCTAAAAGAAAGATGTTTTTCGTCTTCTCACGAGAGCGGGACGAAACTCAGATCTGCGGATTTCGCATGGCGATGTTCTGCCATTTAGCTTCAAAGAACTATGTGGTGAGTTAGGCCTTATTAGGACCTTGAGAAAAGGAGGTTAAACTTTTAACTCTCTCAAGATCTGATTGTCGGTGCACACCTTTTTTTTGTGAACTAGTTACGAGAATTTGGTGATGATCAAGATAACAAATTCTACTTGATAAGTTTGAATATTCTCATTACCTGTTTGCTGAATAATGTATGGATATTATAGGGAGAAGTTATATATTAATCACTTCTGGGAGTTCAAGGGTAGAACGAAATCAAACATGAACCCACCTGAGCAGCACTTTGCAAAGGCATCAGAAGGTGAAATGTGGCAGTAGGAGTTAGCAGGACAGATGTGTCTTGAACGCCCTCCGCAGAAATAATCTCTTCGAGTTCTCGGGTTCGTCAAGGGAGTCAGACCATGGCAGGGAGGAACTGGGGAGAGAACAAAAGAAGTAACAATTAAGGACGTAGGCTCGACAACAAGCCGCTGATCGGTTAAAGAGCCCGCGTTCCCACCACTCTCCTCTCGCTCTTACTGTGAATTTTTGGAGATATGCAGAGGTTTCGTCCTTTAGCAAGTTTTTCTCCAAATGTCTTAACGAGTTGATCCCTGATGTAAAACAAGTTCGTGTCATAACAAGGTCACCCTTAGCCTTACTCCTGTTCAAAGGCTTAGCAACCAAGCACGCTACTGTAAAATGAACTGTTGAAAAATCTATTTAATGTAGAACTAATGTGTAGCATCGAATAGATACGTTTTGAATTTAGATTTAAATTTGGATAGGGTTTCTACTGATCTTATTTGTGAAGGGTGGTGGTTCCCCAGGACGGGAGCTGCGTAGAAACTTATTAACCTACATGCAGTTTATCGTAATGTCCACACTCAAATTTTCTACAACAGCCAAAATTCCAAAAATAAAGGCCCTAACTCACTTTCCTGACAGGTTTTCCCGTCGTCCCTAAGCTGCATGTTCCCTGGGCACGAGCACTGAACCTTCCAGTGACGTAACGAAGTACACACGTGACTACAGCCGCCATTGTTTGTCGAACAAGAATCTGAGAATTTAAATGAAAAATTGTCAGTGCGGGTCTATGTTTAGCCTGCAGAGCTAATGGAATTTGGGCGAGCAAGCTAAGCGCTCAATTTTTTCTTGGCGAAAAATGGCCGCCAACTTCGATTTTTACGGCAGCGGAAGGCTGGGGAGAGAAAGTAATTTGTACCGAAGGGGTGAGTGACGGTTCAAAATAAGGAGGAGGGGAGGGCTGGGGTGGGGGAGTGAACATTACCGTCAGCCTTTTACGCCCTAACATCAGTATGTATATTCTCCATACTGTCTCTAACATTTCCCATGGTACTGACGAGGAGAATTTGTATAACAGTCAAGAACATCTTAGTGGGAGATAATTTCCTGAATTCTCATGACCTTAATCTTTGATTCAAGAGTTATATTGTATGGAAAAATTAAAAGCTGTTCACCCTTTGGGTCTAAAGGTTTAATCATGCATGTTCTCTCTTGGTTTTTCCTTATCTCTTTGGCAGTTGTCCAGCCTTCCAAATCTTATCCATTCTTAACAAGCTTTGAGTTTTTTCGCTATCTGTTGCATGTTTTTATCTCATTGTAATGTTCTTGTTTGCCTAAAAAGCAGTTTTATTGCGTCAAAAAAAGAGAGACAGATTTCTTTAAAGTTGTTCCTAAAAGATACAAACCTCACTACGATACCCTGTGCTTATTCCACGGCCACTCGAATGAAGAGACAAATGCCCTGGGAAAGAAAATGTACTCACCTCCAACCGAAGAGACACACGTATCTTGCAATGCGCATGTCTGTTGCGACACGCATGTCGGATCACACAGAGGTCGTGTGGCCTCTCCAACGTGATAAGACAGGATAACCCCAGCTTCTTGCCACGTGACGAACGCCTTTTCGCTTCTGCTGTTGTACAGTGTGACCGGGTCTTTCTGCATCCTTCCAAAAGCAAGTTGCAAGGTACCTTAGAAAGAAATAGAAGGATGAATTGGTTCGAAAACCACGAGTTATGGGATGATAATCTTACTATCCGCTTGAAAGAATGTAAACTTCAGCTTACATATTTTAATAGATTTAGCCTAACGCCAGCGGGCGTTGTTAGCCGCGCAAGCGTAATATGTTTTTTTCGTTCCACCTCGTGCTTCTTAGGGGCCATTTTATAGCGATCGAGTTGTTATTGCTATTAAACCGGTGCAAGTTGCTATTCGCGAGTCGCCTTGCCTTCATAACTGGCGTGGTGGCAGCTGTGAGGTCCTTGTCAGTAGTGAAGGTAACACAATTCGTGAATAATTGACCAACATATATTTAATATAGTAGTTATTTATATAGTAGTTATATAGTATTCATATTAGTCGTAGTTATATATAGTTATATAGTATTTAATACTTATTATTTATTATTATTATTCATTTATATTTACTAACATTTATTACAACATTTTAACGACAACGACAACTCGATCACTATAAAAAGGCTGCCGAAAGACACGAGGTAGTATGACCAAACGCAAAACGCATGTACGGCTAACGATACCCGCTGTCGCAAAGATAACAAGTTCGTCAATCCTTGTACACCGTTAGCCACTTCGTTCGTTGTAACGACCTTTCAATTACACTAAATTTCTAAGGTACGCACTTAAAAAAAAAAAAACAAACAAACTATCAGTTTTAAAAGTTGTTATTCGGAAGTTCAAAGCATCAATTATCCTTAACACCCTGTGTTAAACACGAAGGCGCGCTATAAAAGGAACCTTAGGTCCCACTGGACCATTTGTCAATCAACCATCGTGTGATGTAGAACTCTTAGAGTCAAGTCAGCTTGAGCCACAGCTACTCCAAAGCAGTGAACAGCGGGCGCATTCCTCAAAATTGTTTTATGTCTCATCACAATACAAGAATTTTTGAGATTTGTATTTCCTTTCTCCAATGGAAACTGTCTTTATTTGTGGCGATAAATTTGAGATCGAAGTAGATGGTTCGCACGTTACCTCATGCCACCATGCTGGTGGAAGTAAACAATAGATATCTCATTAGCTCCTTTTGTTCGTCTACCAGCATTTAAATCTGACCCGCACACGTCAACGGTGAGTGACAAATGAGCCAGGGAAGACTTCCTTTTATAGCGCGCCTTCGTGTTTAAGCGGTGAGTTGTCAAATTCCCGAATTCGTTTACCCTTAATCACTGTAATATCCACCTCTATTCACCTTTATGAAGCGGTTTTGGTAACCCTTTAAAACGGCCTGTTTTTTTATTGTCTTCCACTTGCATTGAACGGTCACTGAGAGTGGGACTATTCAAATAAAACTAAGAATAATTTTTCAAGTAATTTTAACCCATGTTTCTCTCCCTAAATCAGAGTAAGTTGTATTTTCTAGCGAGATTCTGTACATTAAGTGGTCAATTATGGCCTAAAGTAGTGCTTTTTATCGTTTTTTATAATACCTCTAATCTGTGGAACCTGTATCAAGCCATTCCCTTAGGTGACCGCTAAATACAGGTTCTACAGTATACCTTTCTATCAATACAAGAGGTGTGGTCACATGAAGCATTGGATAGCCTCCCCCGCCCTGCCTAGCCACACCCCTCACTGACCTTGCAGGAGTTCTCCCCCAATCACCCAGGTTCCCCTCCCTTGCTCCTGCCAAAACAGGATGTGGTTGCCAGTTGGAGGAAAGTACACGGCCGATGGCGTTCTTGCGCGCCTTTTTGCCAGGCAACTGTACGGCTTCACTTCTCGTACATAGCGCTTACGGGTCACCAGAACAGAGGCTGTTCCAATGAAGGGTTTGCCTGCGTCAGTGTCTTCCCAAAACAAGATAAGTCTGTTGAGAATAAACAATTCTGAAGGTCATCTGTTCTGTCATAGAACCTGCACTGAGATTTTTGGAAAACTTTGTGCAACTTTGTTAATCCTGCAGGATGTAAAATTGACAAGTTAAGTACAGAGGAACATTTTTTGGGGGGTGGGGGGAAGGGGGATTCATACCACATATCCGACGCGCAATAACGTGAATCTGTATCAGTATCTCTCCCTCCCCAAGCCCAACATTAACCCTGACTTGTTTTCAGTAGACTGTTTTTGGGTTAGGGGTGGGGTAGGTACGCAGATACTGACATTGACACAAAAGTCAGACATATTACCTACATTAGGGCTGACATACCTGTCAGTACGTTCATTGTAGTAACCGCTGGTCTTTGCCAGCGTGTTATTAGTGTAACCTACAAAGTTCTTTGTTTCAGCGGTCTCTGTGTTAGAAGCATGCGCGCCTTTAGCATCGCGTTTGGTGAGAACCACCATATTGAGGCCTGGACGCAGATTAAAATCGGCGTTGGCCACTCCTCCACCCTGAACCGTACAAGTGAAGAAAAATTCGTTCCGTTTTGAGTCAGTGAAGATGTTTGGCTCGTAGGCATTTCCTTTAAAGCTGCAGACGGAGTCAGCCTTGAGTATCTTGCCTCTGGCGTCGACAAACAAACCTATCACTTCTTTTCGAGTGTGTGCCAAGACAACGGCTCCAACGTAACCACCTTAAAGAAAAAGAAAACCTTTCCATGGAGTGTTACCACTTACTCTTAAATGTTCGAAACGAGGGAAAAAAACAGGTTGACCTTAATTACGCTAAATTGCCTGCTTTAATAGGATGACCTTTGTAATTTCTTATATTGAACACAAATATCTTGTGTTACTGCTCGCCTTGAAAGCTGTACGCTCGGAATCTAACACGCCAACAATGAAGTGAAGGAGACATTAGTGCGAAAATTTTCCAAAACATTCACTCGAAAGAAAATTAATTTTAAACTTAAAAATTAAAAATTTTATGAATTAGGGCCTCAGAGGTGGGTTTATAAAGGAACTTAAAAACCTAACTTAACTATTTTTCTTTGAAGGGCCTCTAAACCTGAGAGGTATAATGGTTTCCAGGACACAAATCGCTTTGCACACCATGCATGCCTACCTGTGGCACTGTTATACTTGATTAGGGGATTTATGGCGTCCACCCAGTCACGTGGTCCTCCCTTTCCGGTTCCCTTCACGAACAGCGAAGGCCCGGCCGCTCTCTCGGTTTGCCAGCTCCTCACTCTCTGGCTTATTATTATATATTTGTGGTTGAAGTACTGCCAAACACCAGCGCGAAACTGGAAGATGATCATGTATTCATCTGCCTTATCATTGTACGCTACACTTGGCCAGCCTTGATTTGCTGAAAATTGAAAATCAATATCGTGAAAAAAAAAAAAAACATGTTATTCATTACGACAGAATATGACAATAATGAGGTATTGACATCTGTCCTGCAATATGATCTTTTCCAAGTTGGATCGTCACGTTCCAACTGCAAACCAGGGGTGGATCCATAAAGTTTTGATAGGGATGCCAATTTTAATTTGATTCGGAAAACGCGCCGTTTTTTTTATCTCGACCAATCAACTAATACACGTCCACCAACCCCTTCCCCTCCCATCCCACCCCTCCCACCAGCCTTTACTCGCGGTTACACGTCACACAGCAGACAATAGGAGGTGTACCAGCCAAAGACACGTGTTAACAAACCTGTCGTGGTAACTAGTGAAAAAAACCCATGGTGATGGAGATAGGGGGCAGTCTGTCACCTGGCGAATCACTGTTCTCAGTTGTGAGAGGTCAGTTTTCAGCAGCTGTGATTATGGAATGCACCAATCATAGATTTCAATCATATACAACGCGACATAGCACGATAATTACAAGTCTAAATCCCACAGGTATCAACGAACGCTTTTCATTCCACTAATTTACTAGTGTTTTTCTCGTTGCCATGTTCCCACCAATCACGTAGCTCCATTTTCTGCCTTTAAAAGCACACACAACCCACAATTCCTCTATTCGCTCCGACGAAGGGCTAACGCTCGAAACGTCAGCTTTTGTAATCATAACGGTGGCCAATTTACCATTTCAACTTTGTTGATATATCCAAATTATTTCGTTACCCCCACCGACGCAGCCCCAAACAGTTTCTTTAGAAACTATCATCCTTTATAGCACAATAATTCACAAGGTGACACAAAACTTGTCGACCTCATCGTTTGAAAAATTTCCGAGTTATTCAAATTCATACGTTACCGGCTTTCTTGTTGAGATTTGCAGTAAAATTCAGCACTCGTTTGTCCACTATTCTGCTGTTGGTGTCGGCCCTCAAAGCAAACAGCTGATCGGGAAGATTATCTCCGTCTACGTCAAAATCAAACGCCACAAGATACTCGTTTCGTTTCGGATTCCATGCGGTGCTATGATGCAACACTTTCCCTAAACGGCTGAGAAAGCCTGGAACCAGTTTAAACAAAGCTCCTGTCCTTTTCACTGATCCTACGAAGGAAACCTGTGAAGGTATTTGCAGTTTCGATTAATTTCAGTAAGCAAGGGCTTGTTTGATGCATAACACTAAACTTGGTATAAGGAGCCTTGGATACTCAAAGAAGTTCATTATCTGACAAATTTGTGGTAGATATAGTGACTTGATCAACATCTTCCTGGGAATGAGGTTATAAATATTATTGAAGTGGAGCGAAGAAAAAAAATCTGGGTCCTCAGTTAGGAATCGATGCTCTACCACTGAGTCATGGAGACTCTATAATGAACTAGGCTATTCATTAGGAGTAAAAGGGGGAAAGTTTCTAAAGAAACTGTGGTGCTGCGTCGGTGGGGTAACGAGGTAATTCGGTTTTATCAACTGAGTTAATAACGTAAATCGGCCACCGTAAAGGGTTTCAAAGCTGAAGTTTCGAGCGTAAGCCATTCGCCAGAGCGAATGGGCTAGCGCTCGAAACGTCAGCTTTGAAACCCTTTACGGTGACCGAATTACACTATCAACTCAGTTGATAAAATCAAATGATTCCCTTCGAGGATATAAATACCGCATAATGCTAAGATCAGCCGAAAGCGTCATGTGTGTAGACAGAGTAGGAGAGATGTTTGAGCTCGGTGATAAAATAGAGAAAGATGTTTACTCGTCTCGCCATGAGCGTGGGACAAAGAAAAATGTTTGGTGAGTCCATCATAAATAATTGATATGATAATTATCTCTGTTACATTTTATCTTTATCACTGTATCATTTCCAAGGTTTGTATAGAAAGTTTTTCCGAAACAACTTTTTTACCTTTTTAGAATCCACCAATTTCTCCTCCTGGCCTTCTCCGTTTACCATTGTCACTGCATAGTAGAGGTCTACATTAACCGGTGGGTACAAGTCCTTGTAGCTGGTTTTTCCCGGGTTCTGAAGGGAAGGATCCTGTCTTCCCGACACGTGGGGTGTCATACCGGATACGTTGTCAAAATAAGTCGTTTTCCGATAGATGTTAAAATGACTAAATTCACTGTTTTGTGTTGGTTTCTTTGGACTAAAACAGATAACCACAATAAAAGTTAGGAAGATGAAAGGGCAATTCTTTTAAGAGTGTGTCGAAGATATTCTGGAATTACGTTGGCCTTGCTTCACCTCGCTTCGTAATTTGTAAAAAAAAAAAAAAAACTCGTCAGCCATCCAGCCAATCAGATGCACAACTAAAATTAAGCACGACATGGTCACCCGCGTTTTCCCGTGGTTTGGCTAGTTTGCCTGTTTTCCCGCGGTTTGGCTACTTTGCCTGTTTTCCCGCGCTTTGGCTATTTTGCCTGTTTTCACTTTGAGTATTTCTAATTACTTTTACTAGGTATTATTTCCTTTACTCTTATTGGCTATTGAGAATACCTTGGTTTTGATTCTACAACATCCGCCGTTTCATGGCGAATAAAACCCATTTCAGTTAAGTGTCACAAGTAATTACGACGGCCAGTCATGTCAGTGTCACAGCAAAAAAAGGTTGATTTAGAAAACTAAAAGTAAGAGCGAAAACGGAAGTGAAGTTGCAGTGGAATTTACTTCCGCTTCCCATTGCGACAGTGACATAACACTTCCGGACCAATTACAGGGTCATTTAATAGAGAGCGAAGAAAAGCAGAGCCAATACATATACAATCTCAGATTCCTTTTGAACAGAAATAACACAGGCTTCTATTCTAGTATTCTCTGTAATGAAAATGAGGAACTTGATTTAGAGAGCTTTTGATTCTAAAACGCTCGTCATCTAGACTATTTTTCGCACCTGTAAGGCAAATTGAGCCGATTCCACTGCATGAGAATTCCATCACAGTCTTGTTTGACCGTGAGGTCCTGGACTCTTATATCTCCACCCATGTTCACAGTTATTTGACGTCGAACTCGGGTCGCTGCGTCACTTGGGATAGAGCGTTCCACAATGGAAACCATCTGATTACTCGTGACTTAAAGTGAAACGAAAAATAGTCAGATTAAAAAAGGATAAATGAATAAGACGAACGGTTTCAAATGTCCAGGGTACTTACGAATTTTAAGCGCATCAAACTCATCGCGTAAGTGACCAAAGTCGTTGTTAATAATTTCAATGTCCTCCTCTGCAGCTATCGAGTGGAACAAAATAAGTTAATAAGTTAATAAGTTAATAAGTTAATAAGTTAATAAGTTAGCGAGGCCGGGTCTGTGAGAAATGGTGGTCCTGTCAATGGCGTTAAAGGAGACAAATCCACCGATCCATGCTGAGATAAGCCCAAACCCTTTCAACAACCCGCCATTTTTGTACAACCCTTTCACTTCCTAGATCTTATAGTAGTTCTCCTCTCTGACTGCCATACAATTTTTATGATGCTATAGTCCGTAGAATTTGGTCTTAAATCAACTATCCCCTAGATGATATTTTTCTTTATTCTCATCACAGCGACTTTCAGTGCAATCGATTGCAGATGTTCGTTCTAAAGCCCTTCCAAACTTCCAAATATAACGTTACATTCGATTCGTTACATCTCGTTCACTGAATATTATCCACAGCTTTCCCCGCGATTGCACCTCTTTTTTTCAGCAAATCGTTATGGGAAAGCTTCGAGGTACACTTCGCCGAAATTCCTGGAAGGTAAACGCTATCTAATAACAAGTTTAAGAAGTATGAGGCCCTGTTAGGGCAAATTCTGACAGACGACACGGCTCTGAAACGGTGACATGAAGGAGCTGAAGTGACGATCACTGAATAACGAGCCGTCACGAAAATAGTGAAATCGGCGGCGACATTGGCGTTTTAAGAATCAGACAGCGACTTGCAGCGCAATCGGGCAGAAGAAATTGTATTTTGCAATAAAGTTAAACTTTCCGTGAATATTGTGACTGGAGAGGGGGAGGGGGGACCTGTGTCGTTTGACACCTTTCTTTCATCTTCTCATCTCATCTTTCTTATCCAAGGCTATTACGTTTGGTTGATAATTATCCGGAAGTATAATGTTTCGGAAAGAGAATTACGAGAACGCATTTAGGTTACGTTCTGTTCTTAAGCATTTCTGATGTCGATATGAGTGGCTTCGGACGAAATTCCGACAGGGACATGCGAACCTTCCAAAATTGCGACGTAAAATGGTTTGAAAAAATTCAGACGAGAGGAAACCAACGACTCCTTTCCCCCTCACCCCATACTGGGCCTCAAGGATGGACGTGCCGAACATTGATTAATTTACACAAACATACAACAATACGAGGTTACAATTGCCTTCAAGATCTTCTTACTGCGCGCTAAGAAAATAAACAGTCTTAGAAAAGTCTATCGATTGGTAACAGTTTTTATTGTAATTACTTTGCTTTGAACCAATTCCAAAACGGATGTATTACTTCGCGCTCGTGTGGTACGTGACTTTCGCGTGGGTTTCTCGCGAAGATACGACGGCCGGTCGCGAGAATGATCTTTTTGACTCCTTCAATAAATTCGGTGTTGTTAAGTCTTTCCAGTTCTACAGCTTGGAGTTAGCGTACGTGAAAATTAAAGCAGGGGCCGGTAAGATACGCATGTTATTAAAACTCCTCATTTGACTCACAGGCGGCCCAAGCTCTCTTTGAGAACCACACAAGGAACACAATTTGCATATCGATTTATAAGGATTTGTATGGGATTTTCTACAAGATAGCCATAGAGATAGTTAAAAGTGAAAATATTAAATAAAAATGGCTTACCTTATTCCATACGTGTGTTGCTTGCTCCTGGTGTCGTTATTTTACCGATTTCACTTGATTTAAGCGGTTTTTTTT